ACAGTTCTATAAAGTAACTAGTAAATGGTAAATTTCCTACACTGCTTCAGAGAGTAATAATTTAATGATTCCATTCTTCAGGGGTTTACTAATATTATTATTTAATAATTATTAAAATACTATGCAATAGTTATTTTAAAGAAATTATTATTGTTGCTATTATTGTTGCTGTTACTGGTACTGCTATTATTTACTAACAGTATTACAATTTCAGTTGACTGAAAATGAGATGCTCTCCACCAAACTGTCATTTCTTCCAAACTCTCTTATCATGAGCTCTGCTGTTGATCTTGCAGCAGCAATTCCACATAGTCTTTTGGCTTTTGAGACAGGTTAATTTACTAAGTCTCTTGATTTTTAATTTTTTTTTTCCCCAATAGCATCCACATGTTTGCTAAGGGAACTTTGGCTGTGTTTCATCACGGCTTAGTGCCACAACAGTGCCAGTATCTGTGAGCCTCCAGGGCAGATCTTCTTGCCTGTGCAGTCGGAGATGACAGGAGCTCCGAGGCTCCAGGAGCACAGCCTGTGGTTCCTTGCCATTTAGCAGAGGAACACCAGGGCATTGTGTGCGTGTAGGCTTTTCTTAGAAAGGAAAGTTGAGCAATAAGCCTCCACAGAAATGAGGCATTTAAGCATTCAGTGTAATTGATACTGGGAAAAAATATGATAGGATGAAATCTATTCCTGCAATAAACTGTCCATTAGTTGGGCCATCAGCATAACCCTAATCTAAAGTTAGGAGGATGCATTACAGATATAATCAAATACAATTTTCTATATTCCATGAATCAAAAGCACCATATGTATTACGAGCCTAGTTTGTCTTTTTGTTCCTGCCTTCTCTGAAACAGTGTATATCTGATTTCTTGTGTTATATTGCTCTGATGTCTGCTAAGGGCACCATGCCCTAGAAATTCACATTAAGTAACTGAGAGCGAGCACTAGAAATCAAAAAAGTGAAATACTATCTAGACAGCTGGAAGTAAAAATATGAAAAGTGTTGCACTTACAGAAGGAAAAAAAGCCTATTTTTATGACTTGAATAGACAGTTTGGTATAAAGAGAAATTTCTCACCCCGGATCAGACATACAGCCGGGCTGCAGCAGGCAGCCTGGGATCCTGGAATCCACAGTGTGCTGGGCACAGTATGGACGTGGCTTCGGGATTTGGGGATGGCTGCTGAGTGTGCAAAGGCACAGATGTTTCCACACTTGCTGGGCTGATGGTCACATCAGCCCAGGACATGTTATGGCTTCATAAGTCCATGTGCCTCAGGCTTTTAATGGAGACCCTGCAGATAGGGTGAGCCTGTGGCCAGAGGTATCTGCAGGTGTGAGCTCTCTCACTCAGAGAGCTTCTCCTTTCATCCTCAGTGGCCTGACTTCCAGCTTATCCTTTCTTTCCCTTTGTTTTGTATATTTTTCCATTTCTCACCATTGGCCAGCATGTCCCTATCCAGCAGCCCCCACCAAGGCCCCTACTTGGCTCTCCTTGCTCTGCTCAGCCAGGGGATGTCTGAGCAGGTCCCCTCCTGTCCAGCTCATGGACATGTCCTAGGTCCAACTGATGTTTCTGGGAACCAGTGGCCAGGGGACACTTTATCAGGAGAGCCTGGAGAGAGCTGCTGTGGTTTGTAAGTGCTCATGCTTCCCACCAGGAGTTCCACCCATCTTTGAGCACAGTTTTGCAGAAAGCTGTGTGTGTGTGACCTGTCTGTGGCCCAGCACAGGTCTCTGATATGTCGGGGGGGCCTGCCTGGAGCCATCCCCTGTCCTCACCACGTCATCAATTCTCTGGCTGTTCTCTAGTCCCATCTGGAAAAGAATTAACCTCTTCTATCTCCTCAGAGTAGCCCACTGAGTTATCTGTTTGGGTTCTTCTTCATAGGAAGGCATGCTTCAATTTATTCATCACACAGGACTTTTTTGCTGCTTCCTCCAGTATTCCATAGGGTACATCCACAGCTGACCTGCACTCTTTGGCTTTACAACTCCCAGCAGGAAAAGGCCTCTCCAGAAGAGCACTCAGACACCAGGGCACTGCTGATGCTCTGGACCTTGGCTCCACAGCCAGACAGGTTCTGGGAGTGCTGGTTGGGGTCTCTTTGTTCATGCCCTCCACGATGTTTTACTTTGTGCCATGGGTGGCTGTGGGCTCCTGGGGGCAAGTGTCCCTGCATGGGAAACCTGGCTGAGGCTGCAGAGGGGTTTTCCTGAGACAGAAGCAGTGGTGGGTCTCTTGTGCCAGCATGTGGCCAGCTGTCAGGGTATGTTGCAGGCTTGCTGCTAAATTTTAGGGTGAGGAGCAAAAGATTGTAACAGGGTAATATTCTGTTGGTAATTAGGATAAAATTAATGGCTGTGTAAAATCAGCCCAAGTCAATCAGTGGATATGAGATGCTGGGAAATGCAAGGAGCCTGCTGGGGGCAGTGAGTGGGAGAGGGATAACATCCTTCAGCTGGGTGGGATGCTGCCACAGCCAAGATGAGAGAAGGAAAGGCAAGAAAGAATGATACCTGATGTTGGATTTCTTTGCTGAGAGCTGGGGATCAGCCAGCTAACGAGGCAGCAAGTTCTGAGGGCAGAGGAAGAGCTTGGGACATGGTTAGTGCTCATTAGCAGCCAGAGATGTGAGAGCTGTCAGCATGCTGGTGCTTTGCGCTGGCCAAGCCTTTGACTGTCCCTGGAAGGAGGGCCCGCATGCTGATGCCGGTGGCACAGCTCCTACAGCTGCTGGCCGCTCCTCAGCCACAACAGCTGCTTTGAAGCTGCAGTGCTAAAGGCTTGAGAAATTAATTTTGCCTGTCAGAGATTCAAATGTAAGTGTGTGAACTGCAGTTCAGCAAGGTACGAACTCACCTGGCTGCGCTCCAGCTCTGGGAGTGCTGCTCACCGCAGGGGAGGGGAGGCCAGCAAGTACCTGCCTGTGTAAGCTGGTATTGTCTTGCACATAAAACATGCCCTTAATTAATAGCTAGCATGAACCTAAGCCACTATCTCTGTTATCAATTTGTGGATGTGGTTGGATTGTCTGTCTCCCAAGACAGTAATATCCCTTCATCTTACTGCAAATTGCTCGCAGCATCCTTCTATTACGCAGGCTTAATGCTTGAAAAATAGAGATTTAATACTCCACCATATCAGACTAAGTGAGGTCAGAGCAATTCATATTCAAGATCCCACAAAGCTCCCTGACGGCGTTCCTGTGAGGAATGTGATGTGAAGGATGCAAACCGGCCAAGTCCTGCCCCAGCTCCCGGCTGTCCCACACCGACAGGGACCAGGACAGCCACCTGCAGTGGCAGCACTGGCTCATCCCTTGGAGGAGAGTGGGTGCACTGGGTGTGGTGGATGGGCAGCTGCGGGATCCCTGCCAGGCTGTGCCAGCCCCTGATCCTGCATTGCTGCTGCCCCTTCCTGTATTCCCTATTTTGCCGGGTTTTCCTAGAGCAGGACGGCAGCAGCCTGTGTGTTTTGTGTCTGTGATAGGATCAGAGAATGCTGCGGGGATTCCCAGGGTGCTGGAGGTTCCCCGATGTGTTTTTAATGAGCAAGCTGAGCCTAACTTGCGAGCAAGTTTTCTCTGAACTGCTGGTTGTCACCTTGGCTCTGGGCAGAAAGCCTGCAAGTAACACATCCTGTGTTCACATGTTTATTTTTGTCCTGAAACATATATATTTTGAGAGAAAATAATAGCTGGTGTTTGTGTGTTTCCTCCCCAGAAAGAAAATATATATCTCCAGGGTTGATGCATATATTGCCAGGACACATTCCTTCTGCATTTCCTTTTATGTGTGTGCCAGGATTTCACCTGCAACTCATGAGGAAATAAATGGGAAGTTCAGTTTGGAGGGATTTATGTGCAGAAATGAAATATGGTTTAGGAGAAATATTCCTTTGCCCAGCACAAAACTGGTGTAATGAACATAATTCTCCTGGTGTGAGCCAAATGTCCCAGAGCTGCCGCCCTCCCTGACTGCTGGGCGCTCCTGGGCTGGTGCACACCTTGCTGTGAAGCCTCAGGGGTGGGAGATTCCTGGCTGAAGGCTTGGGAATGGGACATAGCCTGTGCTGGAACAAACCAGGTGGGCTCTGAGGTGTGCCAGGACTGGCTGGGACCATGCAGATGGTTTGTGGGCAGGGGCTGCTCCCTGTCTGCTCAGACTGGTGCAGTCGGGCTTCTGACCAATCCCAAGGCTGTGACCATCCGCAGGATGCTGCAGGCTCTGCCAAGGGTCATTTCCAGAGGTGCCAGCACCCTGAGCTGGCTCCACTGTGGCTCATCCCCACCCACTGTTTTCAGCACTCTTGTTTTGGAGTTGGCACTGCAAAGGCTCCGTGCATCTTTCCTGGCCTTGAGAAGCTCCCTCTTAGGGAGTTTAGACCTCGGGAAAGGGGACCTCTGATGTGTGCCTCTGTAAGTGGGCAACAAAGGGAAGATTTATATCCCTGTGTTCAAGACCTGCAGGAGTTCCAAGAATCCTTTAAGAGACTAAAGATGATCTGTATCACAGCCTATGTTTTCCTTAAATAAAAGCTATATACTATGTAGAAAGACTGTAGTTTGCTTCAACACTGGAAAAGTAGGATTTTTGGAAACTTGGAGGTAATGAGACTGGGACAGGGCTGAGGACTGCCATGAGAAGAGGAGACCAGTGCATTGGTCAGCAAGAACCTGGAGGAGGAGCATGGCTATCTCTGCTCCACAGGAACACATCCTGCTGGGAAGCATCAGAGCTGCCTCCTGCATGGAGCATGCTGGGCAGCAGCCCTTCCACTGGAAACACTGCTTCTCACAAGAACAGATTGTTTCCAAGTCTGAGGAATTCAAAGAGTGAAACTGCTGCTCTAAAATTAGGTGGCACAGCTCACAGTGATGGCTACACAAGCGCACTGATTGCAGCAGGAGGGGTGGCTGGGTCCCTTGCTGGGACCATCTCGTGGTGACCATTGGGCCGGTGGAGTTGTGAGTGGAACCTCCGCAGTGAATGATTCCAGGAAAGGAACTGCCAGGCGCGTGTTGTCCTCCGAGGCACAGCGACACGCAGCTGAGTGCTGAGGGGTGGCTAATTGCTCAGGGCAGGCTGACATAATGGAGCGGTTCTGAGAGCACCTCAGCTGTGGAGGTCAGCAGTGACGCAGAAGGCTTAATTTTTCATAGCGTGCTCCTTGTATACTACAACTCCTCCTGTAATGGACTAGCAAATTACCACACTATTTAAAAGGCAGCAATTTATAACATTTTGATAACTGTGTGCTCCTGAGGGTATGTCAGCTGTGCCTGTGGACACAATGGGTGAGAACGCTCCCTTCCCTGCAGCATGGGCACAGGCACATGGGAGTGCACACACACATGTGCCCCTGCCATCCCAGCACCTCCCCTCCAGCACAGCTCAGAGGCTCGTCAGACCCTGGAAAAGACCTCTCCCTCTCCCACATGCGTTGTCTCTGTCTCATCCCTGCTCATTCCAATGTGTTCCTGGTTTAGGGACCCTGATGACATTCTGCTGCCCACCCAGTCTCACTATTCCCTAATGCAGCTGCCTGGGGTCCACGTGGGTGTAGGCAATTGCTCTGGGTACACCTGCCTGTTCCTGTGTTTGCACTGCCTTCTGCCACAGGGGAATTTACTTCAATCCGCAAGAGGTGTCGAGGTGGTCACTCCCACAGAGGAGCTGCAATCAGGATGAAGTGGCAGGGCTCGTGGAACTGTACTGACCTGATTTACAAGGGTCAGATTTACCCCAGGGTCAGAAGGCAACTGTTTTTTAAGATCTCTGCTTACCTATTTGGTGGGAAGGTGCCTTCAGGCTCCATCCCAGGTGCAGCTGCTCCCGTGAATGTGCACTCTCTGCAGACACTCTGGGGTCACCACGCACACACTGTGGTGTCCCATTCGCTGTATTTCAGATACATGCTGGTGCTCTGCTGCTGCCCTGATGCACAGATGCTCTCTCTGCTTCATAGGAGGAATCTCCCTTCATTTCTCACCAAGATGAGTCTGAAGAATTGAGTGCCCAAAGAATTTGCATGGAAGCATTCGTCCCTCTCAAGTAAATAAACCCTCATCCCTGGGTGGAGGCAGCGGGTCAGCTCTTCCAGCACAAATTGGGCCCTCTGCAATTTCCTCCCCAAAGCTGCTGCCTTTGACAGAACCACCAGACGCCGTGTCCTGGGAGAAGACAGCTGTGAGACCTGAGTGCCAGTGTGGAGCCCGAGCACTGGCATGTTCCCACGTCACACTGAGGAGCGAGCAGAGTGCAGGACAGCATGGGAGCAGAGAGCCACTGAGCTGTTTGGGTGGACAGTTTGCAGTGAGTGTGCCCATGGGTTTTACAGCAGTATTCCTGCACTAGCGCCACAGCAGGGGGTGTTGTTAACTGTCTGCTCTCCCTCTGGAGTGGTGTAACTGCTCCATGCAGCAGAGATGGGTCCAATTCATTGGATGGATAGAAGTGGTTAATGCACCTTGGAGAAACATAATTTAATTGGAAATTATTGTTATGTGCTACTCCTATGTAAAGAGTGTGAGAATCAGCACTAATAGCTCTGTATGAAAATGACTTAATTGCTCTGTGGTTCTGTGATTTAAGCTTCTTTCCAGGTGCACTTTTGGTTCACAGATATCTCGGGTGGGATGCAATGACACACTGGGGACTGACGAGGTACACTCCTGTGAGTTGGGGCTGTCAGTCCTCTTTATGCTGATTCTCTGGTGGAGCTTGAGTCCACGATTTGCCTTTGAAACCCGCAGGGATCAGCGCAGGTTGCCATGTGCTGAGGGCTGCTGGGAGCAGCATCGCTGGCTGGTGAGGTCAGCCCACACCTGCCTCATGCATGAAGGCAAAAGCTGTTCCCTGCTGCACTGTGCTGTCCAGCTCAGCTTGCCTTCTTCACCACGTCTCCCATTCCAACAGGATCTACAGGAAGCTCCTTCCCTCATGGTGCACAGACCACGCTGGGGGTGGCACATGCAGGTGGGCAGTGCTGGAGGGCACAAGCAACTGGGGCTCCTTGCTGCTCCCACACGGACTGTGGATGCCATGGGGTTACAGCTGGCCACGTCAGCAGCAGGAATGGAGCTCCGGGATGCCCCTCTCCATGGTCCAGGCTGTGCACAGGTATGTTCACATGTGGAACTAATCAGCAGTGACTGTATGAGAGATAGAGAATGGAGCCTGTATAACTTGCAAAGAAAATGGCAAACCAAGGAAGGGAAACTTTCTCTCCTGCAGAGCTGTGAAAACCCCCGGCTCACAGACCACTTGTGGTGTCTTTTGCAGGAGTGGTGCTTACACAGGTGGGGAGAAAGCGTTTTTGCAGTGGCATGAAAAATGTGTATGAGGAGACAAGGCATCAGGTTGCCATCAGCACAAATGTATCTGTGCCTTATTTTTCTGCTTTCCTGGCTCCCAGACAAGTACCACGAAAACCAACAATTTTCCTGTCCTTTTTCTCCTTTGCTTTCACAGGTATCTTAAACCAAACCCTTCCTTCCCGGCAGAAACAGGATGCACTGCTGGGTATAGAATAAAAAAATCAGGATTTTTAGTCCCCCAAGGAGAAACAGGGAGAGACTCAGGCTCCTTCATTGTACTTATGGTTGCAGACTTGGATACCACCAGCCTGTCTGTGCTCCATGGGCCTTGCCTATTCTCCTGGCTCTTCCAGAGAGGGAGAGCTGTGGAGAGGGGCCGAGGCACTGCGGTTCTGGTGATACCTTAAGATTTTAGGCAACACCGTTCTTTTCCCACTGCAGGTCAAAGCAAGCAGGACTCTCCTGGCTACAGGCACATTGATACAGGCACATTGATCCACCTCCCTGGGGACAATCTGCAGACATGGACAGGAGGGAAGAGCGGAGCATGTGTCCGTCCTATCCTCGTGGCTTCCGTGGGAGAGGCCAGCAGGCTGGCCAGGCATAGTGTGGCAGGGCTCACCAAGGGGCATGGCTGGTGCTGCCTCTGCATCTGCCTCTACCAGCAGATGCCCAGAGCTTTCCCACCACAGCCTGATGAACGGAGATTCCTTCTAAAACGTGTCCCAGGAGCCCGACTGTAACTCCAGGCACTGCCAGCCCAGGGGAGCGAGAGGAGTCTGTACCGGAGTTGGGGTGGCTCAGATCCAGAGCAGGACAGGGTGACAGTGGTCTCGTGGGTCTCAGTGCATGGGCAGGGCAGCAGTGCTGTGCCTCGGAGCACTCTCACAAGCGGAGCCGATTTAATAAACAACAGGAGTGTTTTCCCAGGCCACATGCTGAGCTGTATTCAAAATACATTTGTACCAACATCAATTTTTAATGCAATTTATGCCAAATGTTGTTGCAAAAAGCAGCCGTTAACATGACATTAATTCAATCACTGGAAATACAGTACGTGCTGCTAAATGAAAACATGTTATTAGTCAATTAGATTAACTGGATGTAACTCTTCCAAACACAATGTAATGTGGTTTTTACATGGTTAATTACGTTGTACAAATTACATGGCAATCAGGCTTAGCACTGGACGCACACACACAATTAATACATAAGTAGAAAAAACAGCTTGTGATGCACATTAGAACTCTGTAAAAATTACTTGAAATATAAATATCTTGCAAGTTTGAAATAAAGAGGCAGAATTACGCTGATACTAGTGAGAAGAGGGCAAATTCTGAAAGAGCCAGGAAGGTCTTTGTGGGGAGATCACAGATGTTCATGGTTGCTTTCACAACGAGTTTTAATCTGCTTTAAAAAGACCATTTTAATTTTAAAGAGAAACGCTCTTGGCCCTGATGGCGTCCGTCCCTGTGCAGGAATCTGTCAGCACCCACGCAAGCCTCCTCTGTGTTTTAGGAAGAATTTGTGCCCACTTGCGGGGAATGGTGCCAAGCCCTGGCGCAGGGAGCGGGCACCGTGCCTGGCAGCCCCCGGCAAACCGCGGGCATCACCCGCCCCCTGCACAGCCTGTCTCCCACCACACGCACCGGGTGGGCAGGCGGGGAGGCCCGAGGGAACCCCCAGTGCGGGGTCCAGAGTACCTAACCCTCGAGGGCTCTGCAAAGAGGAGGCTGTCCTCGGGAAGGAGTCGGGTCCGTGGCAGCTGCAGCCCGAGCCGGACATCCCCGTGCTGACCCCGCTCTGCAGGGAAGGGACCGCCTGGGGACCCCCCGGCCCGAGGGCAGCTTTCCACTGCTGGCATAAGGTGATTGGCAGCTTTGGGAGAACAGAGATCCAGGCCCTTGTCCCCTGGGGCTCTGGGACATGGGGCAGTGGCTCTCCCTGGCCGGGGACCGTCAGGACCCTGTGCTGCAGAAGTGCCCGACAACTCATCGCTCTGCACACAGGGCAGAAACAGGCGGGTGGTGGAGCTCTGGAAACGCAGTTTTAAAGCTCTTGCTGCAATAATTACCACAGTTCATGGAAACGTGACTCGTCTCCTCAGACCGGTAATGCGAACAGCACCCCAGCGAGGCTCGGGGCGGTGAGGGAGCACCCACTGCCCCAGAGCAGTGCCTCCGTGGCCCCAAAACAGCTGGAGGGCGTGACCAGGGGCGTTAATGAGGGGGAAAGGGAGATACGCCGGTGGTCGTCAATCCGGTGCCCTGCGGCTCCACTGGTGGGGGTGGGTGCTGCACTGGCAGCTCCAGCTCCCGGGTGCTCACCCCTGCCCAGGGACAGGTGCTGTTATGGGCAGCCTGCCGGCGCTGGTTTAATTTGACATACCCAGGGACACGGTCCGATGCAGTGCTGTACGGCTTATTGGTTTCACAGGGAGCGGGGAGCAATTTCAGCAGCCGCTGAACGGCCGGCGTAGACACACACCAGCGCGCTGCTGCAGCTGCTGAAAAAGGAGAGAGAAAGCTCTTGGAGATATTTCTGTCTCATCTGTCTCGAGTAAATCAGAACAAAGCTGCAAACATCAGAGAAGGCAAAATGCAAAAGAAATAGAAAACTCCCTACTCCCACTGAAGGCAGAATGTGGTCTGACGTGACCACTGGCAGCAGAAGGATTTCACGTGATCGGGGGCTGCTTACACGAGGAACTGTTCATTATTTAGTGTCTGCTTAAGGGGCTAGGGGAACAAAAATCAAAGCTCCTGCTGTTCTCTGGCTGATGAAAGGGCTGTGGCCGCCCCGCTGCAACCGTGTTTACCTCCAGCCTCACCTGTGCCGGGAGCTGGAGAGGTGTCTGGCTGCTTGCTCAGAAATGAAAGCGCTGAGAATCAATCATTTGTTTACATTGTATGACTTGTTGAAAATCAATTGGCTCCACATGCTGCAGATCTGATTGCATTTTGTTAGCAGTCACAGGGAATGGTTTTCCCTTGACTTGCCTGCGTTCGTGGTTTCTCCAATGCATCAATTGTACCAAGCTTTTAGGATAATTGAGCCTGAGCAACAATCCCCTTTATAAATATTAACTCTGATATGCTTGGGAAACTCTGCCTCTCCTGGATGAATTTTTAACTAGCTTTTTAATCTATCGCTCCTTGTTAGAACAGCAGAAGTGTTCCTTGGTGCCTGTTCCTGCCTCCCCAGCTCCAAGAGAGTGGCATCCCTGCTGAGCCCTGCTCCCAGGGCAGGGACCCAGAGCCCCTGGTCCCAGGAAAGGGCCCACTCCTGTTTTGCCCGGGGGAACATGCCCACAGAGCAGGGACACAGGGCTGAGAGAAGCCATGCAGGGGCTGAGGAGAAGCTCTGGTTTCTTCCAAAGGGACTTGTTACACTGGGATGAATTTTCATGTGAATCCTTGGAAATTTCCTTAGGTGATGCCCAGGACAAGCAGAGCCCAGTGATGGGGAAATTTCTTGGAGCAGGTGCCCTTTCCTGTGCCCACCCACTGCAAATGGCCCCTCAGGTGATGCAGCCTCAGCACCCAGTGTGGGGACAGGTGCCCTCAGAAAAACTGGGGAGATGGTGCTGTCTTAGCCATGAGAACTGCAGAGATGGGGGACCTCCCCAGCCAGACCAGACCCACCACACTTGGAGAGCCAGGACACACTGATGGAGAGATGTTCCCTGGAAGGCCATGCTGGGCTCAGGGAGCTGGGGCTGGGAAAGCTGTGGGTGTGGGATGGGCTCCTCTCTCTAGCAGGGGCTGCCAAACCCCTCTGAGCCATCCTTTCCATCGGCGTTTGGTTCTGCAGAGCAGCTGGTCACAGTCCAACAGCTCTGGCCCAGCTCAGCTGAACTGTTTCTTTTCCCCCACAATCAGATGTTGCCTTCTTTAATATTGTCTGAACGTCTGTCAAACTGTGGATTTTCTGTGAAACCTCTGTACAGGAAGAGACAAAAGGCAGCAGGGAAGCTGTTGAAATGAAAGCCTTGCTTTAAATTTCAAATGCTTTAACAGAATTTTTTTTCCCTTGGATTTTTAATAAAAGACTGTTTTTTAATGGTGATTACTTGCCAAGGGACCTATCTATGGGGATGTGAAGAAGCTGTTGCACTCAGAGGCTGCACAAGTCACTGGCCCAACTAGGTTTGGCGTTCCAGGCTGGTGCATGTCTGTTCCAGCGGAGAGGCTGCCGATGTTCTGCAGGGGCAGGATGGATGGATTGCCTGGAGAACCTGGTCATGGGCTGACAGCATTTGCCTAATAAGCATCTTGGAAATGCTTCTGGGAGCTGAGCCTGCCTCCTGAGCAGCTGCTGTTTCTCTCCAGTAAGTATGTAAATCCTAGCACACTCCCAAGCGCAGGAGATTCCTGTCAGGGTCCAGAGGCTGCGCACTGCCGCTGGGGTTGGGAGACCCCAGGGGGAACTCCGGAGCTTCGTGGTAGGAGCAGCATCAGGTGAAATAGCTGTTCCTGGGCACCCGGTCATGTTACAGGGCAGTACTTCGGGGGTTTTAAGCAGTCTGTATTGTGCTGTGACTATTATTAAAATGCTGCTGTAGTCTGTAGCAGTGCAGCTTGCTCTGGAGGGTGCACAGAGATTTATGTCCAAGTTGTGGTCTTGTAGGCCAGGCTGGGGACAGCAGCGTTTATCCCGTGTGGAGCCATATCCTGGCACAGTTCTGTCCCAGTCCATGCTGTCTGCACCTGTCTGGATCCACAAGTGATGGCTGGAGTGGCCAGATGCCAAGCAAAGGGCACTTGACCATCCCACTGCCTTCTCCTGACCGCTGGGTGTGCTGGTACCTCGCCACTCTGGCTGCTCCGTGGCTGCCCTTGGCACACTGCAGGCTGGGAACACCACTGGCTGCTTGGGATGCTCCTGGCCCCTCTGCTCATCACCCTGGCTGGTGGCAACACAAGACACCTCCGTCACAAGGAGGAAAATGAAATTCCTGATGCCAGGATGACTGCTGGGCTGTCAGGAGACATTCCTCTGCCGACACCGGCCTGGCAGCCAGGGAAACCACTGGCTGGCTCTTTGCCAGCCATACCCATATTTCAGTGCCCGGCGGGGGAGGCAGGATATTTTCCACGCTGCTTGGTTTGGTAGCAAATTTTAGCAGAAAAGCTAAAACAAACGGACTGTGGAGTGTCACACTGTGTTAGTGCTGCACAGAGAAGGGCTGTCAAACCCACAAATAAGGCATGGGAAAAGCCTGGAATTGACACTTGTGCCGGTATCTGTGCTCTGACAATGCTCTATGCGAGTGGCTGCCGAGGCAGGGGCTGGTACACCTTCCTTGCTGCCAAACTCAGCGTTAAAGTCTGGAACTTGAACCAAGGCTGATGGAAGTGGATTTATTTAAATTGCCAGGATAAATTAACTTTTAAAGCCACAGTGAAAAAGTCTGTGCTGCGAATCAGGGCTATGAATATTCAGGCACATGCACTCATTAAATTAGTTTGTTGCAAACATATTTGGAGGCAGCTGTTCATTTAATAATCAGAGATAATCACAGAAATAGGCGACCAGTTACTCCATCTAAATTGCATGGTTAAAATTATAATTTTATAACTCTATCTCAGCAATTAGATTTAATAGCTACGAAAATCCAGCAAATCCCAGTTGAAGCAAAGCTGCTACTCTTTTAGTGCAGAAAAGCCAAGGTCAGACTGGGGCTCCCCTGTGCCCATACTGCAGAATCATTAGGGCAAG